CCATATGAGTGACAAATCTTTACAGTGTACAAGAGCATTGTCCCACAGCAGCTAAGGACATGAAGAAACATTCTCAGAATTGAATAGGTCATAAATCATGGTGCTAAAACCCAAACTAAGGTCAACCTCATTTATGGTTCATTTGTGGTGTGTTTTGTGGGCTTCAGATGTCTACAAGCATCTCTACCCATCTGATTTTCACATAAGCTCATAATACCTTTCCTTGCAAGGCAAAATTTTAAAGCTATTTAATCTTAAAAGAAAGTGTTGAATGCTAAGAATTTATATAGACATTTGGGGAGAAAGCTTAATGGGAAAAGGGCAAGAGAGTCGGTTCCTGGAACTATACTTGATTCTGATTTTGGTATTAGTAAATTCTCAAAAAAATTACTTGAATAATTATCATGTCTTACTACAAGCATTTATTAAGCTCTCACAAGGCAGTAAATGCATCTGTACTCATCTGTCCTTACAGTTCTTAGTCAATAGACTGGCTTAAATAAAATTTCTCCCTCCCACTCAAAAAAACAAAGAGAGGGCATATGGGGGGGAGTGGTTTCCATGTGAGACAAGGATAAAAGGCAAGAGAAGAAAGATTTTCTATTTCCTTTCTTATAAAATCTGCTTTGTCCCAATTGAATTCAGGTGCTACGGTTTTTCTCTGTCCTGTCTAAAAAATAAATAAATAAATAGAATTTCCATCATTTAACCTTGTGTGGTCTCTGGAATCAAGACCCTCATCTCTGACAAAAATGTAGCAATGGCCAAATTTCCACAGCCAGGGAACAAGGAAAGATTGAGACAGTTTTCTCTCTAATTGCTTCAATCTTCCCTCTTGTGCTGGCCTTGGAAGCTTGGCCAGCAATTGTTAGAGCATTGTGCTGATTCCTCCTCCTCCTAATAAGGTTTCCCCAACCTGAAATGCTGTTCTTCCTGGTACTGCCCTCACTCTCTTCAGGTCAGATTCCATCCCCTGAAAAACCCATTCCGAGGGCCCCTCCACTTCGCTTTCCTGAAGACTGCAGAAGCTCTGACTCCCCGTCCCCACCAAGTGAACTCCATGCTAGCAACGGATTTGTGGTGACAGGGAATTCCATGTCACTAGATGAAAAAAAGCAAACCCTCCTTTCCTTCACGCTAGCTCCCAGCAAGAGTTTCGGATTCTACGCAACTCAGCTGGCTTTGTGCCTCGTAGCTCAGTCAGAAATCTGGCTTCTCAGGAAACGGCAAGAATCGAGCAATCCTGATTTCACATAGTGTTTTCTGTGGCTGTGTGGTATCCGTTTTTTGTTCGCGTGTGGTAGAATACCTACTTTGGGGTACGCTTCCTTCATCCTGCTGTGTTCATGCTGCTAAACCAGATAAATCCAGTTCGCAGGAGACTGAGCATGTCCTGGGGACATCAGAAAACCCCACCTCTCTGGGTACTATGATTGGCCAAGACTGGGTCAATGAATATCAGCTTTGAGTTTGGTTGGATTGTGGGTAGCAGGTGCAGAAAGACAGGCAGAGGAACAGACAAAGATGGAGTGGAACCTTGTGAAGTCTCCTAAATGCAGAATCACAAAGGTGTATGAGCCTGGCTAATGAAGGAACAAGGTTGAGAGTAAGCATAGAGGGGGCCAAAGCAGGTGGACAGCACCTGTGACCATGCTGTGGGCATGAGTTCTCAAAAACCACTCTGAGTCTGAGCGTAGGCCTTAGGAAAAATCCAATCAATTGCAACGATGTTTGAATCAGTTTTTTCTTCCTGAAAATACCTGTGGAGGGGGAGCCTCCCCAGGCCTGCATCGTGACCATCAGGGGTCCTCCATATGGCTTCAGACAGCTTGGGAATAGATCCATCAGAGAAGATGTACGGTCGAGAGACAGAGAGAAGCAGACAGATTCCCAGTGACATCACCTGAACTCCTGCTTCCAGCCTGACTTGAACTTTCCAATAACCCAAGACAATAAATTATCTTTTTGGCTTGGGCTGGTTTGAATTTGGTTTATGTCACTAGCAACTGAAAGAGATCCAACTCAAGAGTTCTCTAACACATGTATATACTTTCCGTTTCCAAGTTAGAGAAAAAAAAATATTTCAAGTGTAAGACCACAGGCTCAGTTTTGAAGCTGTATGTGACCATCACTTTTGGGAAGATGTTACTGAGCAGTAATTTGGAAGGGGTGGCTCTGCCGTAAGAGCTCATACTCCATTAAAGCAAATGGCTCACTCTCAACTCTGAGGCTAAACCTTGATCTACATAAATGCATTCTGAGTCTTTCAGGAATGATCTCCGGGTCCTACTGGGATTTCCTACAAAGCATGTCACAGCCTATGGATTCTGCCCAAATATGCATTTCTAATGTAAGTTTAGAAGTGAGTCTGCATTCTGATTAAACATCCTGGTACGTTTCAAGCCATAATCAAGGTTCTGGAAAAGAAAAATGTGAAGTTAATGAGATTTCATTTTGTTTGTATTGTTTTATGTATATAACTTGAAGAAAAGTACCCCAAACCTTAATAATCTAAAACGATGACGCCCAGTCAAAGAGTCCCCACATTTTCAATTTTCCTGAGATCTATCTCCTCGCTATTGAAGTGAACTAATACAAGATGCCTAAAAAAGGATTGTTTGATGTCTGTAAGCCCAGTCAGCAATCAATAATTTGAAGTCTGCACCACTTGTACCTTTAAGTCCTGGCACATCATTTTCTGCTTACCGTTGAAGAAAGAGGATTTTGAACCTTTGCCACAAAGCACATTTATGTGTGAAACAAGGTTCGTTCATATGGTGAAAGTTTATCATCCTGACGTTTATCTGCAATATTAATTGTATATATTGATCCTGGTTTTTTTTTCAGAAATTGTAAATTTATTATAAATACTACCATGGATGACCTTAATTTTTGAGACTATTCTTCTACAAAACTTGAAAGATTTCAGAGGCAAGTCATAGATTTTTAAATTCAGAAAGGCACCGCATGCTGTAATATTAAATTAAAACTCCATAATCAGTTGTTAGTCCAAGGACAAAGTCGAGCAGGAAATACATTTTTAAAAAGTACACTCTTAGCTATTAGAACAAGATAGAATGGCCTTTCCTGAGGAGCCCCTCCAACTCGGCTTTGCAACACAGTGCTGGTGTTTGGCTCAGCCTGGTTATACGTGCAGCATGGAAAGTTACCATAATCATTTCTACGATCACTACTGTTCTTGGCTAAGCAACTTAAAAGTGGCTAGGATTGCTTCCGAAGCCTTCTCTTCCTTGCCTAAATGGTCTTCCACATGTGTAAACTCTCCAGCATAATTTTTTTTTCAAAAAAAATAACTCCTTCTCAGAGGGAGCAGGGATCAGGGAGGGACAGAGTGTAACTGTGCCTTCCGCATGTGGCGGAGCTGCTGGACCGTCGCTCCCATAGCCTCAAGGCTCCTGGGGTTGCCACACAGAGCTTGCATGAGAACAAGTCAATCAATAGTTTGGAATAAGGGTTCATGAGCCCCACCCCTAACTGAGTAGCTATGGGTCGTGGGTGGCCTCTGAGGGAAGAGAGTCAGTTTTCTTTACGGTGTGGTGTCTGGTAGGTAGGCTCTGCTCCAGGGTTTATGGAAAATTCTCCACATCCAGGATTGTATGGGCAACAGAACTTGGACTCTATGGGTCATGAGGGAAAAAAAGACATGAGTGTTGGATGGAGCTAAAGAAGTTGAGGGTGAATCTGGGAGGAGCTAAGAGGTGAATATGATTGAAATATAGTGTATGAAATTCTCAACATACAAAAAATGTTATTTTTTTATTTTAAAAAAAATCCTCTTCTTTATAGTCTGAGGATTTGAAATAGTTGCTTAATTTGAGAAATACTTCTTTATAAGACACCTCAGTCATGCCTTGGGGAAGAAGAAGACCAAAGGGTTGTTACCTGGGTGCTCCAGCAGGATCTTGGAAAGGAAGGAGAACTTCAGATTCTTCCTGAGTGGGAGTGGGATGCTCTGAGGCTGTTGATTTGGGCTTTAGGATGAGGCAAACCTGTCCCTGTAAGAAGGCTGCCTCTAAAAAAGGAATACTCTTCAACATGGGGACCTCATTCACTCAGAAGTGTGGGTCAATTACTTTATTTTGCAGACACTAAAAAAACAAACAAACAAACAAAACAAAATGGAGTCATTTAGGAGCTTGCCTTTCCTCAAGTTCTTTCTGTGATGGGAGGAGGCAGAGACAGAATTGTGGGGATAAAATCTGTGATCGCTTTGGAAGAAGAGGCCCTAATAAGGAAGAATAAAAGTGGGTGTATATAATACAGCCTGCTGTAGGAGACCTACGACCTGCAGACATATACAATGTGCTATAAATATTTACAAAAGGAAAAGGTGGTCTCCACTTTGGAAATCTGAGAATGCTTCATAAAGAAAGATGTCTGTGAGCTGGATCCTGAAAGATGGGCACAGACAGATGGGAAGGAAAGAACACTAAGTCAAGAGAACGGCATTGGAAAGGCAGGAAAACTCCGTGTGCTCAGAAAACGTGGCATGAGCAGGTAGCGCTGAGAAATGAAAGAGATGACTTGTAAGGCCAGACAGGCGTAGGAAAGCCACCAAGGACTCTTTTGTGGGAAAGCCAAGATGCTAAGTCTTGTCCAGAAAGTCTATCCCGGCAACTGGAACGGGGCAGACTGGAGGGAGACCTCCAGGAAAAAGGCAACAGGGGCTGATGGGAAGAGGTAATGGAATAGAAGGAGAGGAGCAGCCAGGAAGCATGGCTTGTGTAAAAATCGTCAGGTCTCTGCAAAGGCCTGCTTGCGTGAGACAAGAGACAGAAATTCGGGGTAGGGAGGATGGGGCCTGGGTGAGGTACGATGGCGGGAGGTGATGAATCTGACTGCGGACGTGTTGACGTCCAGCTTCCAGAGTGAGATAAAGAGCAGACAGCTGGGAATGCAGGTCTGGACCTGGGGAGAGAGGATAGGGCTTAAAGACTTGGGATCCAGCCACAGTGAGGTGAATGCAGAAGCCGTGAGAAAGGATGAGATCACCAAGGAACTGACATACGGAGGGAGAATGGAGGACAAGCGCGGAGGGGCTAAGGGCGGAAGGACGGAAAGTGAACGGAGCACCCTGAAAGCCTTCCAGAGTGCCAGGGAAATGCTGCGCAGTGACAAGGGCTCTCAGAATAAACTGTTATGACGTGGAGTTTAAAGTGCCTCAGCATCAGCTGGCTGAATCTTTCCACTTGACAGGAAGCAGGCGCTGAGAACGCTAACCGCCGTGGCGAACAGCTGTCTTCGGGGCTGTGCTCAGTCTCATCTGAGAGGTGGGCGGAGACATTCATTAGCGCCCCCACTTTTTCCCAGACTTGCCTGCCTCCTCCTATTATTTATAATTTTGTTAACAGGAGTGACGTTTATTGAGGCTTTTTCTGAGACTTGGCTTGGTGTCACAGATAAGGATTTTGGAACCAAGTTGCCTGAATTCCAATCCCGACCAGCTTGCCTGGAGGAGCCATGTTGGCAAAAGTTCTCTGCTTGGCTTTTCCAGGCTCAGTTTCCTCAACTGTAAAATGAAATAACGACCATAATTCCCCTGCGGTTAAAACACAGAACGGGGACAGAGAAGGGCTTCTTCAGCACTGAAGAACATTGTTGCTCTTGCAGAGGACCTGGGTTTGGGTCTCAGCTCCTGCAGCAGGTGGCTCACAACTGTAATTCCAGTTCCAGGGATTCTGATGCTGTCTTTGGCCTCCACAGGTATCAGGCATGAACATGGTTCCTGTATATATGAACAGGCATTTATACAAACACTTAAAAATAAATACAAATACAAAATCCTCCCTTAAAATATTTTTTTTTATTATTGGGTTCTTTTGTACTCCTTAACCCTTTTCTTTCCACATTCTCCTATTGGGGTAATATGAGAAACTTTTAAAGATTAGGCTGGGACCACAGGTATGAGTTAGCACTTTATTGGACACCATGGGGCATACAATCCACCTATCAGTGTGGAACCTGCCCATGAAACTTTCCTCTATTTGAAAGTGTGTTTGTATGTGAGAGTGTGTATGAAAGTGTAAGGGTGTCTGTGTGGGAGAGAGAGTATGTGAGACTGTGTGTGTTTGTCTGTCTGTCTGATTGCTTTCTAATGTTGTATGTTCTACTTTTCCTAGGATATAGCCATGACTCCAGAACCACCTGGGAACCATAAGTGAAATCTAGGGTGTAGTCTACAAAAAGCAACTTGAGAATAGGATATGATCTTTTGCTCCAGCAAGACTGTTTTGCAGTGGAGTGTGCCCTTAGCCTTCATCCTTTATATTCCTGCTGACATGCCACGGGACCCAACGGAAAGCTGACCTCAGAAGATAAAAGTGACTAATGCCTTGATGTTTTATCATTTTCGGGAATAGCTTAACAATTTGAAGGCTAATGTTAGGGCCTATATCATAAGATTAAATGGAATGATGCAGAAGAGCTGCCCAGTGACTGGACATGACACGCATCAGTAAGTTGTGGTAACTATCTGTGTGGCAAACAATTATAAAATACCTAGACTGCTAGACAACGTTAGGAGTGGCATAGTTGAACTCTAAAAAGTTGTTAATAGTCAACAGTGTTTGATCTACAAAAATTGGTAGCCAAGCAGGAATTTGTTTGTATAAAGGAGCAATTGCAGCAAGAAAGGGAGCAGCAGCCAACATCTTCTGTGTTAGCCTCTGACTGGGAACTGTGGCAGTTTGAAATAAAATAGCCTCCAAAGGGAGGGGCACTATTGGGAGGTGTGACCTTGTTGGAGTAGGTGTGGTCTTTTTGGAGGAAGTGTGTCACTGTGGAGGTGGACTGTGTGGTCTCATATATGCTCAAGCTTCTCTCAGTGAGACAGTTCACTTCCTGTTGCCTTTGGGAAAAGGTGTAGAATTCTCTAGCACCCCATCTGCCTACACTACACCGTACTCCCTGCCATGATGACAATGGACTAAACCTCCAAAACTGTAAGCCGCCACCTCAATTAAATATATTCCTTTGTAAGAGTTGCCTTGGTCGTGGTATCTCTTGACAGCAATGAAACCCTAAGAAAGAGTGAGTAGATACACAAGAGGATGAGGTAGAGGTAGGGAAGCTGTAGAAGACTTCACTCACATTTAGTCTTTAGCAGAGAGAGAGAGGATCTGTGGTCCAGTATACAGCTGGGGGCTTTACCAATGGTCTAAGACACGATGCTAGGGCTTCTCTATCTGAAAATACGCAGTACTTGAATTGCTGGAATTACAGACTTTTAAACAAGCAACAAAAGAGCTTGTCAGAGCCTGGCTTGTGAGGCTGTGGGTCACAGGAGTGGATGTACTCAGCCTGAGACAGGAACACTGAGTGATATAACTTCCCATCCCTCCTAAAGGCCAAGGCTGCAAGACCTGAGACGTCATGTGAGGGATGTCAGCCCCTAGAGGACTTACGGAGCCATTAGGAACACTTGGTTATCTTCACCTAAAGTCCCCGTAAATATCAGGGGCTGGAATTAGAGAAAGAGGCAGATGCTATCAAGGGCACTAGGAATAAAAGGAGCTGTGTTTGATCCCCAGTTCACTGGGCCAGATAGAACCATGTTCACAGAGGAGTTAATGACCTTGAGGCCCATGTGGCCCTTTAGTGGCTTTGCTGAGCCCTTTGGTGGGACAAGATCTTTCTATAGTGGGAAGAGCTTTGAGTGACCTCAGTGACTTAGACCAGCATATAAAGTGCCTCTGTGAAGTGAAAGAGCAACCGAGAGGAGATATGGAAAAACAAAGCAGCGGGAGAGGTGAGTCTGGGTCACTGGAAGACAACTGTGACAAGACTTGCGTGGAGCTGGAGTTCCTAGGGGACAACTGATAGAAGCCCAGCTGTGCTCAGGGGCTTCTGGACGGCTGCAGGGCCTGAAGAGCAAGCAGTTCACAGAAGATACCGTGTAGAGCAGTACAGGTGAAGACCATCAGTCCTGCCCCAAGGGTGGGTAATTATCCCAGCAGACTAAGGAGGGCACATTTCCCTCCAGCAAAAGGTTGCGCTAGGGGTGGAGGTTGTTTGCCCAACCAGGAACTCCCCCAACAGCCATATATGGTGGATGGAGCGGCAACAGCTACAGTTGCAGCCACTGTGCTAACCCAGGGCCATTCTGACCCAAGAAGCCTACAGGTACAGCAGGGGAAAATAGGGTCCCATTCACTTTTAGCCATGTGAGGGTTTGAGCAGATTAAGTCAGCCCACTGAGCTCATCACGTTTGGAGAAATGCAGGGACGTTGCATGGAAGAACTCCAAAATATGGAAATGCAATGGTTCAGAGAAAATGTCTACTAAGTATTGAAGGAGCAAATTAAGTTAGTGCCTCCAATCATGCTTTTTACCCAACCTTGATCTGTGGAGGAAGTATCTGATGGATCCTTTCTGTGCTGCACCGCACACTGTTTGTGTTTGACCTTAGTGTCTTATTAGTTGTGAACTTCTGGAATCACCTGACACTTCTGATAGCAGATGACAATAGGCTTTCAGGGTACTTCACCAAGGTTGTCTTTTTCAACCCCACTATTTATTATGGGATGGTGGTTCAGGATGTCCCCTCACCCTGCCCATCCTCTGTTGGAAGAGGCCACTAGTTAGTTCCCAGCTGCTCAGCCATGAAATAATCACACAGAAAACATATTATTTAAATCACTGCTTTGCCCATTAGCTCTAGCTTCTTATTGGTTAACTCTTACATATTAATTTAACCCATCTCCATTAATCTGTATATCGCCACGTGGCAGTGGCTTACCAGCAATGTTTTGGCATGTCTGACCTTGGCAGTGCGGCGTCTCTCTGACTCCACTTCCTTTCTCCCAGCATTCACTTTAGTTTTCCTAACCTAGCTCTGCTCTTCCTTGCCATAGGCTCAATGCAGTTTTTTATTCATTAACCAATAAAAGCAACAGAGACAAAAGGACCTCCTACACCAATCCTCTGCAAAAGGTTTTGTTTTACAGATGGCAATAATGCTGACCTCTGTTTGGCACATCGCATACCAAAAGCGACTAATACTTCTACATACCTTACAACACTCCTGGGGCTGGGTTAATTAGAAGGAAAGATGGGTTTCTGAAACAACAGCTAAAGACTTTAAATCCAAAAGATACCCTAAACAGGTGAAAAGGGGCACTTCCAGAGATCATAAACTTATTGAATGAAAACCCCAATGCCAGGAGAGGGCTCCCTTCCTGTGAGTTGTTGGCTAAGGAAGCCCCCAAGGCCCCACAAACCATAAAGGCAATAGACACTGCTGTGAGTTGTGTACCAGAACTACAGGATAAGAACCTTGTGTGCATGAAAACTTCTCATGTGCATGCTCTGACTACAGGACATGGGGAAATTCAGCTGGGACAGAACCGGAAATCCTCACCCTCCTGCTCAGCTTTCATAGAGCCGGAAGGGGCTATGCAGGCTGCTGATGGAGAACTGTCCCCAACATATGTGCTTGGCTATGTACTCTGCGTACTAAAATACCAACAAGTTGAGCAGATGTTCCTGCATGTGCAATAATGAGTTGGCTATGGTGGGTAAGACCAGCACAACAGCCTTCCAGTTGGATTTAAAGCCTGCTCCACAGCTAGAAGACATCATTTTGAGTGAGGTAACCCAGACTCAGAAAGACAGTTATCACATGTACTCACTCATAAGTGGTTTTCAAACATAAAGAAAAGGAAGCCAGCCCACAAATCACAATCCCAGAGAACCTAGACAACAATGAGTACCCTAAAAGAAACACACATAGATCTAATCTACATGGGTAATAGAAAAAGACAAGATCTCCTAATTAAATTGGGAGCATGGGGACCTTGGAGGAGAGTTGAAAGGGAGAGGAGAGGCAGGGAGGGGAGCAGAGAAAAATGTAGAGCTCAATAAAAATCAATTTAAAAAAAAGCCTGCTCCACAAAAGAGAGTTAGTGCCTGGTACTATGTGCCAGGACAAGTTCCTACAGCTGGGGAGATCATAGGTCCAAATGGGGGAAACAGCTTGTAAGGTATTTGTAGATGGATCGGATGGCCTGTCAAACTGCCTTCTGAATGTGTGTTAGCACCCATAGATCATTGTGGGTCACCAGCCCAAACTTCTAAACACTGGAGAAGCTCGGCTGAGCAAGTGACTGTTACAGTGCTATAGTGCCCTATTTCTCAGCCACAAACAGACATTTAGAGTCATCCCCTCCAAGGGTCAGGGGTCATGGGGTGGGGTGGGGGTGATGGAAGGGCCAGGAAGGGGTGAATGAAGTGTTGTGTAACAGTTTGCTCCAAGACTGAAACATTTTATCCTGCAGGGAACCACCTTAAGCAGGAAGGTAAACAATAACACTCCAGAAAGTTCCTGAAACTGACCAGATTCACTAGACCCCCTCCCCATGGAGTAAACAATAGAAGCTGAGAGTCCATCTGAGACAAACTGAGCTGCCAAAGAAGACTCTGTGAGGAGACCCGCTGCCCAGGAGAAGCAGAAACCAGCTGAGCTTCCTGGAAGAGGTTTAGACAACAGAGGTACCTGGAAAGGTGAGCCTTCTGCAGGCTGTGTGGTGTGCACCAGGTCCCATGTTTGTGACCTGTCATGCGTGCTGGAGTGGGCTTGGGTGATGAAGCTGTCTGTGAGCTATCTGTAACCCTTATAAAACCCATAGTTTGCCAAATTGAACCTTGGTGGTATCCATACTTTGGTTATCCATACTTTGGGTACCATCCCACCCCTACTTTGGTCTGTATTTTGGTTCCCTTCCTAGGTGTAGACATGTGTGTTGTGGCTCTCTAAGTTTTGTCATAGAAAAGCCCCCAAATCAACCCATGAGGCGACAGGATTGAAGAATGTGTAAGCATTATTATCCTCTCTGGCAATAATGTTTTAAGAGACTCAGTGTCCGCCAAAGTGACCTTACGGGTTTTGACATTTGGAGAGCAACAGAGGGATCTATAAACTCTTCCATTTTGTCTTTACGAGTCTCCTCTGACTTAGAGTCTGCCCTTACTTTGCTAATTCATTAAATATTTTCTTAAATTACAAAGAATTTGGCCTCAGTTGATTTGGCCTCATTTGAAGTTTCTCTGTAATAAGTACTCTGGTCAGATGTGGCCAAAAAAAAAAAAAGAAAAGAAAAAAAAAGAAAACAAAAAACCCAAGAATAAAAACAAACAAAAAATAGGAATCATTGGGTAGTATCAAAGAAGGCTCAGGGTGACAGTTACCAAGAACCTACAGAAAGAAAAAAAATCCGTTTTTTTTCCTCATATTCCCAATAAGAGCTGTAAAGCAATGTCTTGCAATGGTCCAGTTATGCGAATAGTGGCAGGGAGGAAGGAAGTCGAAGGGAGCATCAATGCCAACAGTGTTGATCTCAAGACTTTTTCACCTAAAAGTGATGGATTATAAAAAATTTTTAGAGATAGGCATAAAGAGTGCCCCCAGTCCCAACACTCAGGAAACTACAGCAGGAGGATCACAAATTTGAGGCTAGTCTGGGCTATGTTACTTGTGTGTCCTTGTGCATGTGTGCATGTGTGTGTATAACCAAGTATGCTTTAATGGGGGTCAGAGGACAACTCGACAGAACTGATTTTCTCCTTCAGCCATCTGGTTCCAGAGATTGAACTCGGGTCTTTCATTTTGGCATTAAAATATTTACTTCACTGCCTACCTTTGACTAGACTGCTTAATACTAGACTACTCTTGTTAAACACATGGAATTTGGTTCTAGATCCTTCCAGATTGCTTTTCAGGGAAGCACACTTCTTTGTTTGTCCAAACACTACATTTTTATTGGGGATCTATTTTATCACATCCGTGTCTGGTGTGCTGTGAGTTATTCCATGCTGTCAGTTACGCAGCATAAGTGCCAAGAGCTATTCAGAGATGATTAAGAAATAGTTCCTACCTTCAAGACACTGGAAATCATAAAGCAAATATTATTTTATAATACAAGGTAGACATGATAAATATCACTCAAGGTCTGTGATATCCATAGTCAGGGAAGTGTTCTGCTGATCTTGTAGACTGGCCCCTTTATCTCTAACTCATGCATTTGTAACTCATCTATCACTAGAGAACTTTTTAAATATTGGATCTTCTTAAGTTGACCTAGACTGGAAGGACTTCCTCTATTTTTTCTCTCTCTAAGAACCATACCTTTCTTATCAGTGTGTCAGGATCACCTTTGTGATATCTCTGGACTCTGGTAAAAGTGGGAGTCATTTTTCAGTGTGGAAACCAAGAAATCAATACTGCTGATATTTCATCAATAATCAAAGGAGGAATTGATAATGCCCTCCCTTATAGCCCAGGTGCCTAGAGATAGATACGTTAACTATTGAGAGATAATTTGACTTTCATGGGGAGCAGCGTACAGGAAAATTAGTAATATTTACAAGTGGCATACATGAGAACAAGAAAGTTAAAAGAATGATGAATTTCTCCAAAGTTTGGCACCTAGTCCTGCGCCTGGCTCTTTGCAAGTGAGTGAAGTGGGTAAATGACTGGTGGTATTTTTTATACCTAGTAAGGCTTGAGAAGACAGAATGCACTTAAGATACATGTTAGAGGAAGGATTGATGAGGAACTCTTGTCATAGGTACTCAAGTGAATTATGGCTCTCATCTGTAGTCATCATGCTGATAAATGTGTTCGCAGCAGTTCCAGTGTCTTAGCGGTTCTGCTACTGGTAGGAGTCTACTTCCCTGGGCTTCCCAGATAAGAGACACAGACTCCCTTCACCCCATCAGCTCCTTCCTACTCAAGCTCTCAGATCAGTTTGACCTTGTCAGAGAGCTTTTTCCCCACCCTTTGCTAGTGTCTGGCTCATGGTCCACCTGTCTTAGCATCACCTGGCTTGTCAAATAAGGTAAACATGCCGATTTTTGCTTGAACTGATGCCATCCTGATACACATACCAACATTATCCAGAGTAGCCGAAGGGTACCCAAATGAAAGGTGGCATAGACGGGGCAGTCTTGATCAGTCTTAAAAAGGAAGAACATTCTGGTACATGTTAGAACATAGGCAGTCTTGAGACCTAATGCTGAGTTTAGCGGTGTTACCTGAAGAAGACCAGGAGATGAACAAAAGGCTGGACATGGAAGGCATTGAAATTACATAACCACATGGATCTACTTAATGAGGCTCAACTCAAAACTGATTAAAATAACATGGTGTGAATTATGCTTTGTAGTACCATACTAAGTGAAGACTCCTGACTCCTGCCTTGGCTCACTCAGCCACAGAATGAGAGGGGACAAAGGGATTCAAAGGCAAGGATGCAAAGAAGAAACACACTTTCTCCAGGTGGACATGGTACAAAATTTGAAAGCTGCTGATGCAATCCACATTAACCTCCCCTGCATCCTACCTCCACAGCAAATGTCTTTGTTTGAGTTTCTATTGCTTTGAAGAGACACTATGACCATGGCAGCTCTTACAAGGAAACCATTTAATTGGGGAGGCTTGCTTTCAGAAGTTTAATCTGTTGTCATCATGGCAGGGGCCTGATGTCATACAGGCAGACATGTTGCTGGAGTTGACAGTGCTGACATCTTGACTCAGAGGCTACAGGAAGTCGAGTGACTGCCAGACTGAGGGAAGCTTAAGCCAGAGACCTCAAAGCCCACCCCCACAGTGACACCCTTCCTCCAACAAGGCCACACCTCCTAATAATGCCACTCCCTGCCGGGCCATTTTCTTTCAAACCACCACAGCAATTGGACCCTCACCTTCACAGCCACTGGGCTTGACTGAGTCTCTGGGAATATGAGGCTTAGGGCTATTTCTCACTATTGCATTCTCAGTATTTAGTAAAACACTTGCTTCAGAGTGGTACCTACCATATATTTATTGTGTGTGAATCTGAGTGTTATATTTCTTAGTGTAAAATAAATATGTCTCAAATGGTTAGTGTGATGAAGATTTGAGGTAACGCTCTTAGGGAACCCTGCGTGGTATCTGAGTTAGAGTGAAGGTTAAGTCCTTGGAACTTTATTACTACCCTGGGCGGAATCATTGGATTGTTCCAGGTTCAGACCCAGAGTCGCAAACTCAGACACCCTTTGCCTGTGTTACAGTTGGTTTTAATGTTAACTTACCGCAAGTTAGATGTAAGTAGGGAGTCTTACCTGGAAGCTCCATCTCAATTTTGGGCAGAACCCTCTGGTAGCACTGGTCTTTTGTTCCCTGGGCCTTCCCTCTTGCATCTGAGCTGACGTGCCTGTGGCTGCCGCTGATCCTTTGCTAGCGGCAGAACCAACGTTCCCAGGCTTCCACCATGGATGCAGGACCTGCTGCTCTCCAGCGTCTGTCCATGTTTTGGCTGTACATTGGGACTGACGAGGCACCGCACCTTGTGGACTGAGCAACACCAGGTTATTAGCCTCCCCAATGAGAAACAGCTACTCTGGGACAGTGACTGCTGAGGCCCCCACCTCAGAGACCAAGCAGCTGTCAGGCTCTCAGCCTCTAAACTGGGATTCAGCTGTTCCTGTTTTAAAGTAAGATGACTTAATGGATTCGTGTGTGTATATGTCTGTCTGTCTGTCTGTCTGTGTGTCTGTCTGTGTGTCTGTATGCATGTTCAGTCCCTTGGTTCCATTCCTTTAAAGAACCCTAACTAACACAGCCATCTAGCAGACAATGTGAGTACCTTCAGCATGCTGGTCTCATATGATCCAATGCATGAAGTGGTAGGAACCAGATGGATCCAGTTGCACATGCCCCATGACTGAGGGCTTTCCCGTTGCTGCTGTGGGAGCCCTCACACCCAGAGTTATCATCTCTGAAATGTTCAAGAGGATCCCGAAATAGGGTTATTGTTTTTTTGTTTTGTTTTGTTTTGTTTCTTGTTTTGTTTTGTTTTTCAGATGGGGTCTCTCTCTTATGTACCTCTGGCTTTCCTGGAAACTTGTTCTATAGACCAGGCTGGCCCTGAATTCCTAGAAATCCATCTACCTCTGATTCCCAGTACTGGGGTTAAAAGTGTGTACACCCACATCTGGCTTCATCTGGACATTTCTAATGCAAATTGCATATTTAAAGGTTTATAAAGTTGAGTGCACACCAAATTGAAACCGAAGCACTTTTTTTTTGTTTTGTTTTTATGGGCTTTAAGTTTATATCTGCTGATCCAGGCCAAGGTTCAGGCTGTGCCAGGTCCCTGAAACAATCCAGCCTTCTTGTGGAAACAACCTGTGTCTTCTGCCTCTGTCAGTGCCGCTGTCCTTGGGGATCTGGGAGACCATTTAGTTTAAACCCATGCGACAACAGGAAGAAATTGTCCAGGGTGTGGAAGGCCAGGACAGATGCTTGTGAAGGACCTCAATGGTGCCGACGTGACTGTAGACCCAACCGTGCTCATCTTGAATTGTTAACCTGGAGGCTTCTTGGTGAACTACTTTCTACCTTTGCAGTTAAGATTCCTGCCTACACTGGGAAAGACAGAACCATGTCCCATAGCTAGGGGGCGCTAGCAGTCCACCTTCCAGACGCAAATGGCTGTGACATCATCTCCAGTCTAGAAATGAGTGACGTTTTCAATGTTACCTGTAAATATTAATGCTTTAATAGAATAGAAATATTTCAGTCCATGTGCAAAATGACTGATAGTCTTTGCCAACTTGTTTTCTTTGTTTCACTGGTTTTCTTCTATTTAAACTTCCTTTATTTTATGTGGATGATGTTTAGAAAACATGGAAATTAGAAAATAAACATTTGATTATGTAGGAAATGATTGTCATGCCAGATCTCCATCGCATACATCTATGTTGGTATTCTCTGCTTTGCTCATATCTAGCACATCTAGGGGGAGACTATATGTCGATATTGATAGATGATAAAAAACATAAATTATCTTTCAAAATAACATAATTCGACTTAAAAACCCAGACTACTTCCCAGCTGTTAGGTTGTTCAACGAGAGGAAGTGCAGCGGATCATCTAAGTTGCCTCTGCCTGTCATTCCTGCTGCTTTTCTCTTGACATTTCCACTATCAAGACACTGAAACGTACTAATTTAGCCTTAATTTCCAGATTCTCCCTCTTGTGCCCGCCGCTCTGCTCTAAGACATGATTTTAAAGCACTTAGAGGCTCTTACTGGACAGATTCAGAAGAATCTCCATCCTGTTTTCATAGCTCAGTCGCATACAAAGAGCCGAATAAACACCCCCCACCTACCCACCCTCCCATCCCCGCTCCCCAACCCCCGCTGCCTCCAGTCCCTAAAAATATTGATTGTGGTCAAGGCAGGAGGCAGAGGGAGATTTCTCTTGTGTGAAAGCTGCACAGAAGGATCTTTCAGATGCTAAATGCTCACTTCCTCTTTCTTATCAGCCACGTTAATGTCCTACTGGAAATAACTACTTAAACAAGTGCCCACACATATTTTCAGTTTCCTGAATATAACAAATACTGCTGTTTCCCAAATGTACTGACTTCGGGAAAATAGAAAATGTGCTTTATTCCAGACCTTTCTTTCCATTTGCAAACCCAAGAGAGTTTTAGGGAAATGCAAGCCACATGCTTCTGGGCATTTATATTGCAGTGCGCGCATCTGAAGCAACCCTTTCCTTCATGGCAGTAATTTGCTGTCTATGAAGCTTTTAAAATAAATCTTGAGACCTCTCTCTCTCTCTCTCTCTCTCTCTCTCTCTTTAATAAGGAAAAGAAGTTTCTGTGAATGGTATTAAATTAATATACACCCTTAAAAATATAGCATTGGCTTTAAATTTAAAAGTCATTTTGTCAAAAGTGGTTTCTGAACTTTCCTCAAAGCTGTCACATTATCAGGTCACCGATCTGTTTTTGCCATTTCTTTTATACATTGCTTCAAGTTCCTTTTGAACAGTAAATCATTCATTTATCCATATGTTCAACGTACAGGGTTCCTGCTCGGTGTAGCTTGTCATAGGTGCTGGAGACACAGCAAGAACATGACAGGCCCGATCCCTGTCCTCGTGGAACTTGGGATCCAGCAGAAGAAAGAGACAGTGGACAAAGGCCCCGTCTGAGCGAGCGCTTACGAGGCGACAGGCAGAGGCGCCTTCCAGAGGAAGTGTCTGAAAAGCTGACCTCAGCCTAATAAAAGGAGCCAGGTCTGGGCAAAGAACCAGGCTAAGGGAATAGCAGATATTAAAGTCTGAGGTATGACCCAAAGAAGCCAAATGTCTGGAGCTTACAAAAGTGAAGCGGGGGAGTGCTAGGTAGGGCTGGGGAAGATCATGCAAGACCACAAGATGTCCCCACCCGTCTCTTAGGAGTCATAGAACCTTCTGCATGGACCCGAAATTTCCTCAGCATGACCCATCTCCCAGACCAGCTAGAATAAAGTGTAGCTACAGACACCTGTTTGTCTGACGGTGGGCATGTCTGATAGGAATGTATCTGACTGTGGACCTGTGTCTGTATGTATGGATAAGAATGTATGTATGCAAACTTTGGGTTTTACAAACTTGGCCGTCATGGGCTTAGATTTCCAGTCCTCGCCTTTGTGGTAGCCTCTTCCCTCTCCCAGCCTCTGGCCTCCCACCTTTTAGACCTCCAGCCTGTTTCCTGGTGGTTCTGCCTTCTAGCTCACTTGCTTGCTCACTCACCTACTTGCTGAGACAGTGTCTCCATATGCAGCCCAAACTGGCCTCAGTCTTGTAATGCTATGCTATAGCTTCTCAAGTCCTATGTTTTCTTTTGGTTTAATAATGTTGCTGTCCTGGTGAAGAATCCTAGGTGAGCCTCTGATAAATCTGCTTTGTCACCAGAATGCAGAATCCAGGGCTATCGCTGGCCCAGGTCTACCTCGGCAGCCCGATTCTCCAGTATGATCCCCCTCCCCCTCCTGTGCTGTGCCATGTAGCTGTGCAGATCTTCTTTATCTGGTAGCCCAACTTCTTATGGACTCCAAGAGAGACCAGTAACAGGTCCCTAAACCCAGAATCGCTAAGTGCATGGGGAGGGGGGATTGATTAGCTAGACCTTGGCTGTGTCCTTCATGTGTATGTTGAAATCATCACCTGCTACCTCAGACTGTGATCTCATTTGGAAGAGCAATAAAGTTAAAACAAGGTTATTAAGGTGGGCTCTGCTTTAATATGGTATTCTTATAAAAAAAAGAATAACACATAGAATGTGTGTGTGAACACAGATGCGTGCACACACACACACACAGACACACACACACACACGGTTAAGTCAGTATGAAGACCATGAAGTACTACCTTGACCCTGTGTCAATTGTATAATTAGAGGACCGAGAACAAAATAAGAATTAAGACTCTTCATATTTTTAAGAATTGCCAAATGGTGGTGGCACAACATTAAACCAGATTTGGGGGAATCTTCTGAAAATGGGGGATCCTGTCTGACTGCACAGGTCTCGTGTTCATAATGTCAGCCTTCTTTCCATGATACAGTGAAATCCTTTCCAGTCTTATATCACTGTCCATTCATTTCAGAAACAATGCTTAGAATAGTTATGTGTCGAGGGGTCCCCATGAGTACTTAATGAATTTGGTGGCTCTTTAGAATGTAAGATTCAACATATAATTGTATTCATTGGCTGTGGAGTATCACAGAGAAAGGAGACGGGTAAGCTCAGCAAAGAAAAAGATGCATGAGATGTAGTGTGTGGGAAAGCAGAGTTCCCCAGCCCTCTGCTATAGGAGGACAATAGGACATTGTTCTTAAGGATGCTCACTGGAGACTCCTTGAGGATTCAGCTGGAATCACCCCCTACCTAAAACTAGCTTTAGTGTTTACACTAACAGGAAACGGCAAACTCAGCTACAAAGTAACTTCTCTGACACTGCCCCTCACTCAGCTAGGGAAACAATCTTGTCCACAAATTCAGCTTCCTTCCATTCAACCATTTCTGATTCCCCTAGAATGCTGTAAAAGACGACACCCAGCTGAAGAACCTTTCAGTCTCAGGTGTTCAGCTCCCCAAGGTATGAGATCAAAGAGGATTTCCAGTGTCGCTTTCAGAAGCACTGCTTTCAAGAGCTTGGGTGTTGTGGGTAGGGCTGAGATCTCCCTTGCACAGTAACCCAAAGTGTAAATACAAGTTTCCAGAACTCACTTTCTTTTGGAGATTTCCTTGCCCATCTGCTCCAGACTCCTGTGTACAGTGAGGGTTCAGCCCTTTCTCTATCCAACCAGGGGAATCTCAAAATCAATCCCAATAAAGTGCATTTGGACCAAAATGGTTCTGAATGAACTCTCTCAAAGATGTTTTTGGTTTGGTGGGTATATTAATTGTATCAACGCTTTAGGAATGAGTGCTTGGCCTCTAAGGTAGGATAACTTTTGGTTATGTCCTCATGGAACTAGAAGTGTTCATTGGTGGCTTCTGTTGAGTCCACCACCAATCTGGATGGACTTAATCATGCTAACTTTGTCTTCACAGTAACTAAAGTGAAAATAATTCAACTGTAGCCAAATGTCATCTGCTTGTTTAGAAAGACAGACAGGGAAAGGATCTAGAATGTCAAGTTTCCTAATGAATTTGATATCTGTTTATCCAGATTGTAAGGGTTTGTGTGCGTGTATGTGTAGTATGGTATATACACATGTGTAGATAGTGTATGTGTTAAGCATGGTATATACACATGTGTAGATAGAGGGTGTGTCAAGTGTGGTATATACACATGTGTAGATAGTGTGTGTGTGTGTCAAGAGTGGTATATACACATATGTAGATAGTGTACGTGTCAAGTGTAGTGTATACACATGTGTAGATAGTGTGTGTTAAATGTAGTGGATACATATATGTAGATAGTGTGTGTGTGTGTCAAGCGTGGTGTATACACATGTGTAGATAGAGGCAGAGGGGGAACATTGGGTATCCTGCTGCCCTCTATACCTTTTTCCCTTTGAAACATTGGCCTCCACTTAACGCTGGAGTTAGGCTGGGGACCAGCAAGCCCCAGTGATCCTCCATCTCCACCCACCCCACAAGTGTTGAGGTTTCCATGCCTGGATTTTCTTGTGCATTCTGGGGATTTGAGTTCAGATCCTTACGCTTGCACAGAGAACATCCATACCCGCTGTGCTATCTCCCCAGCCCTGTGTTTGGCTTTGATCAGTCTACCCATATGAGTCTGTTACCTTAAGTACTTCATAAACGGGACACGTGTTTGACTCATCAGTAATTTCCATAGATGATTATTATTATTTAACATTTGTTAATCCAGTGTGACAGGAGATAAAACTTTGAAAATCTTTTATCCGTTAAACTTACAGGAACCTAGGGTAGGTAATGTGACAAGCAAGGAGAGACATTGAGCGTGATTCTTGCCCCCCTAATTAAGAAGCTGAGTAACTTTAGGAAGATCATTGAATAGTTCTGAGTTATAACTTCTCCTTTTTATTATGGTAAGTGTAGAGATCAAATAATGTGGTTTAACTCATGTAAGTGTGTGTGTGTGTGTGTGTGTGTGTGTGTGTGTGTATGTGGACTCAATGCTTAAGAAAATAAGGGGGAAGTGACTGCTTTTAAGAAGACCAGCACGTCTAATAGATGACGGTAATATCCCAGGCCCATTATGGGGATAGTTACTGTCATTGCCTGCATCACTGATGGCACAATTAACTTAATTAACACATACCTCTGTGGTGAGTCTGCTGAGATAACACTTTTCCTTGTAACATACTCCTGCCTTGCCAGCCAGGCGTCTTCCAGTCCTGTGTCTTTAGAGAAAGGGGAGGGGTGTTAAATTTCTCCTGGTTGGTATGCAGAAAACACAGTTCTGGAATATTCATATCATTAGCAGTTTAAATGACCTGGAAAAAAATCTCAGGTGTTTCATACTGAAAACCTGTGGCCGAGCACAATGACCAGTGGTTTTGAAAGGAGAAGCAAGCATGCAAGCGTTCCTTCCGGAGCTCACTCAGCCTTGGATGCTACTGTTGCGGCCATTGTCATCTTCTTCATCTTTCTCGCTTTTCCCCTTTTCTTCTTCCTGACCCATTTTTCTCTATCTCTTCCCCCATCTCCTCCTCCCCTCCCCTCTTCTATTTTTCCTTACTAAGTTCTAATTTTGTTTAAAATAACAAAAACAAGACCTCACCGCTACATATAGAGATGTGCCGGGGCAGGATGGGTAGGATTTCCACAAAGAAGTCCTTGTCACCAAATCAGAGTCACATCACACTGCACTGACAACATCCTCCTCTACTTGAGGGTCTGGCAAAGGAGCCTTGAGCTTCTGCTGGTCTGCAGCAACAGTAGTAAGAGTTTTGGGAAAATGAGAGTGAGTCCTTTGTCTACAGGAAAAGTGTGTTTGCAGAGCGGTGGCTTTGCCATAGCACGGGCTCTTGCTGACCACTTTTGCTGACTGAAGTATCAAGACAAATCTTCGATAATCTTCTAACATATACTTTGGCTGTATTCACTGTCAACTGCACAGATTCCCCCAGAGTCCCTCCCCTTCTACCCACCCAGCTTTATGTCCTCTTTCCGTTTGCTTTATAAAACCTATCAAATCCAGTTTGTGCACCCATATACTCTTGGGTGTAGTGTCATCCTCTGGAGTTTAGTCAACATACCAGGGGCCACGCCCTTCAAGAAAACCAACTCCTTGTCTCCAAAAGCTATCTGTTGTCAACATCTCCTCAGCTAGACATGGGACGTCGTGCCCCCTCCCCACTGCAAGAGTCTATGACTCCCTTTCAGTCTCTGCAGATGTAGGCCGCCACACTTGTTTCACCTACACACTTAACTTCCTCATCCTTCCACTCACGGCTCGTTTCTACCTTCCCGTCTGACTCCTTCATGTACAACCTTATTTTCAGATGCACTTATGTTTATAATTCATCTTACACTTCACAAAATGATCCCAGATACGTTTTGCCATTGCTTTTTTTCAAGACGGGGTTTCTATGTGTAGCTTTGGAGCCTGTCTTGGAACTCTCTCTGTAGACCAGGTTGACCTCCAACTCACAGAGATCCACCCACCTCTGCCTCCTAAGTGCTGGGATTAAAGGTGTGCGCCACCACCGCCCAGCTTATGATTTCGGGTACATAACCCATCTTCCCAGTGAGACTGTACTTTCCTTCAGCTTCAGTTTTTTTGTGTATTTTCTAAAGCAGCTTAGCTAAAGATGATCTATGGTGGACATTCAGGAAATAGTCTCCAATTAAATGTATTTCCTTTTAGTTGAGAATTGGCTGTAGTAGCTCTTCGAGAGCGGCTCTGTGCATTGGAGATGCACTGTATTGATGGCTTAAACAGGACACATACAGTGTACCTTGGTCCACAGTGTGGAGTAGAGAGTCTAGTGAAGGCAGACAGTTGGGACAGTCTCCCTGGTAGGCGATTAGGTTCCTGGTTGATCCTAGAGAGTGACACTGGACAGGTGGAGCTAACGGATTCACTGAGGTTCTTGGTTTCATTTCTGCTACATCAGATCCTGTCTCTGTGGCCATAACTGGCAGCAAAGGAGGATGGGAAATGAAATCCTTACCTTGGATGGAAAATGTCCAAGCCCCCCTTAAATTTAAAAAAGAAAAATCTGAAGACGATGTAATTATATACAATGGTTTTCAGGCTTTTAAAGTCATCACTCACAGTAGAAAATGTATTGTACCAAACATACTTGGAAATGACACAGGAGTGTGGGGAACCTACAGTAATCTCTACATTGGGTGATTCCCCCCCCCATATTTGAATATCTTTAAAACAAGTGCTGACGAATGAGACATGGCTTGCAGTTTGAAAGGACGGATCTAGAAAGGCGTGTGAAGAATTCCAGGAGGTCGCCATGGATCTCCACTGCAGGGACGGAAACACTTGGTCTAACCATGGGCAGAATAGTTTGCCTGCAGGTCTGATGACGTGTCCACAGTATTGGCCGCTACCTAAATACAAGAAAATAAATATACCAACCATGCAAACAATGTAACATTATCTAGTCTAGGTAACATCTCTGCTGGTGCGGATTCCAAAAACTGAGGGCAAGTGGGGTCTTCAGCAGGATGCCCTCTCTTAATGGGCTGCATGTAGAAGCTGATATCCATTTCATTGATCCTTCCCTATTTTAGGCTTAACAGATGATTCAGATTAAACTCAAAGGGATCTCATCTTAATTCTCTGTCATGGTCCCAGAGATATGAGCTCCTTTCAAGGGCACCTCCCCATCTACGTCGTGATTTGTACCTCCTAGGCTTTCCTAATTCATTTCTGGGCTGGAATCATCTGTGTGACAAATGTGCCATTCCTTCCGCAGACTCTGAATCTGAGGGAAACCTCACAACATGGGATGTTGTTTTCCTTGACAGTTTCAACTGACTTTTGTCAGATTTCTGACAAGGGAAAATAAAACCGACAACTCTGAGAACATTACACCGCCTTTGTTTTCAGAGCACCCGTTCTGGAGGAGTTTGAAATGACTTCCAAATGATGTCACAATAGGCACTTGAACACAGACCCCCCAACCCTTTGTTCTGAGAGCACCCTTGGCCTCGCGGGCTCTGGCAGAGGCAATGTCCTTAACTGCAAACTAATTGTGTTAGTGAGCTCCTACCAGGGCGCTTCCAGAGGCTTATGTTGTGGTCAGCAGTCCATTTCCATGGCAGTGCCTGGAAGTCCCCTGGGTAGGAGGCAGGACAAAGGCGGAGACGTGGTACAGAGCCCTCATTGTGCACAGGGCCTGCAAGCTGCTCCTCTCCAAGGCTCTGGTTGGGCTGCTGTTTGTCCTGATGCATCCCGGGTGGGAAAGGCCTCATCTGACCACTTCAGACCTAATGACATCGACGGGAACGAGAACTTCGTGCGGCTTGAAAGGCTGCTAAAAGGCTTCTGGAGAAACGAGTCAGTGTTTTCAGTCTTGTTTTTCATTCCATGTCCTAGCACTCGTCCGGATGGGCATCTGTGTTTGCTGCCTCCAGAGACAGAGACGGGCTAATTACTGGACAAAGCTGGGGATTAAGCTTTGCGCTTGCCCTTCTGAAGCCATACTCCCATTGGAACCGGATTTGGGATGATGAGGAAAGCAGGACTGAGAGGGGGTGTACCCTGCCAGCAGGCATTCCCACCCTGGCTTGATAAAGAGGACTGGAATTCACAGGGCTTTTAATCCAACACCTTTGGCAATCACAAGAAAAAAACCCTTGCAAGTCCTCTGAAGAGGGGGTATATTTTGCCATATATTGAAGCAATAAGACATGACAGGCACTTTATTTCATCAGGGCTGCGCACCTTATGCATTTTGTGGCAGAAGGCCAAAGCACAAATGACTTCAACTCTCAGGAATATTCTTCCATAAATGCATTAAAACCCTGGCCACTGACTTATTAGTACTAAGAAATGAAAATTACCTGAAAACGGAGGAGGAAGGAAGATGTCCTACGATAGGTTCCTAGGGGTCAGGCACCCTGACAGCCTATAAGAAACTTCCATTTGCAAATAATGTTCAAAAGACACATCTTTATCTATTCCTCCTGGAAATGGCTCTGAGAACTGAGAGCGCTTGCCCTTTCCTGTACCACCAAAGGGTGAGGGTCAAAGGGCAGCGTGGGAGGTGAGAGTTTTACCAGCGTGGAGATCCGTAGCCAGCTTCCTACCTTGGACTATGAGCATTTTCTCATTTTCCCTAAAAGATCGCAAGAGGGCTGGTGGTTGTGTTCATAGAGTTGTTTCTTTAAAAATAATTCTGAGCCAATTTGGCTTTTAAAAATTTGCCTTTGAAGATGAAGGCTCCAGGGTGGCTGTGCCTTGGCTCTTCTCCCAGAGAGAGGTACATTTCTAGATGATGAGGGAACTTCAGGTGGGAACGCTACTCTGTTTCTGGCTTTATGCCTTAAAATATGACCTAAGGCAAGCTATCATTTCCCAGAAATGAAATATGTCATATTTTACTATAAAAGTGAAGCAGGAAAAAAGAGTGTTCTATTATAATAATGGTTTTTGTTTAAAAAAATTTAAATGTCAAATCCCTAAAGGAATAATACATATCTGATACTATTATTGGAACTGTAATGCCAGTAATCGTATGAGGTACTTCCATTTCGTATTGTTCATACAGTAAAGGGATTTTCATGTAAATCTTTCTGTAAAATTATGGTGTCAGAGGGAACCGAGAGGCAGCACCAGGCATTATTCATGCAATCAATGCGCATTCACTGGGAATGAGTGTGTGTCAGTCATGAGTCTAAATGCTGGGGATGCAGACATAAGGTCGAGAACATTCCCTTGCCTTCAATGAGCTCACAGTCCAGCCAAGGAGAGAGATAGGGCACCTGACTATGAGACAGTTGTCAGCACAGACAAAATAGAGATTCCACGGGGGTGGTGGATGGCCTGGCATGGACCTATTAGTTCATACAAGGAGTCTGGACTGTCCAGCTAGGCTGAGCCTCAAAACGTTAGTTGTACCATTTCACAGGCAAATGGAAGAAGCCAGACCAGGAAATCCCAGTAAACATGAAAGGAACAGGCACACGTGATGGCCCATGTGATGAGTGCTTTGCGTGGTTGAGGAGGTAAGCCTGTCAAACTGTCCAGTGGCAAATGATGAAGAAATTTGAATGGAGAAAAAAAAAAACTTGAATGACTTTTGAGCAGTGTAATTTTAGGGAATGGATATATTTTACATTATATTCCATAGGACAACAGAAACGAGAGTAAGAGGCAAAATGCCATATGAGATAAAACTGTCATTTTCATCGTGACTCTTCTGTTAACTTACAGAAACACACTTACATCAAGACACACGGGAAGATTGCTCACTTCACATGCTCACGGGTGGATTGAACCTAATTTTGTAGCATTAAAGCCAATTTTCCACTGAGAAAACATGTCACAGAGGATTGCGTGAGCCTTTACAATGATTAATATTTGGTATTTCAATGTCACCTTTCCTCCAAAGACGTCCCATGCACATGGGAACAGATAAGCTCCAAGAGAGCAGTGTCAATAGAATATGTCACAGCGCTTTCTCTTGTCCGTATTCCAAAGGCTTCCCGGCCATGTGTCTCTCTCACCTTTAACGTTAGTAAGTACGTAGTGAGGCAGTGGTTTTCCCTATTGGTTCCTACTTGGGAGTCTCAAGCTAGAATTTGAACTACATCTTTCTGCCTATAGCTCTTCTTGTAGAATGAAATTTGCCATGGCCATTCCTCTCCTTTGCTTCATCACCTCCACCCTCATCCTGTGTGGAGAACATACCAGGAACTGGCTGCATCTTTGTAGACTTCTTCAGCTTCCTCAGGAGAGAAGCAGAACACCACCAGCACCAGCACCACCATAATCACCATTGCCATCATAATCACCACCACCAGTGTAA